AGCCACCTCTCAGTATCTGTCACATTCTGTCCCGACTCGGAGAGAGCCAAGAAACACCTTCCAGGGACTCTGCCCTCAAGTCTCTCACAATCCAGCCCTGATGAAGCCATGCCCGTAGATTCGACGACCTCTAATGCACGTGCACAACCACATGCACAAAGCAAATGCACAGATGGAGGACTGGAGATAGGGACCCGAGGTGGCGGAAATGCATCTAAGATGAGGGGACAGCATGAGCAGGACCCTGAAGGCAGAGAGGTGCCGGGCAGAGGAAAGCAGTGGGCGTCGTCTGGGCACGAGGAAAGGCATCGTGGGAAGAAGGGTCATACACATCCTGCCAGGTTCCAGGTGGGGTGGGACTTGAATGTTTGATTAGGAGCTTGGGTATTGTTTTGTCCTAAGTTGGTGGTTTGCCACTGACATCCTGCGGACTGATGGTGTAAAGGGCGTCTGTGAGGACGGAGGGGAGGAGCCCGGAAGGGAAGGGTTGGAGAGCAGAGAGAAATGGAAACACCCTGGGAGAGGGAGGGGGACGAAACTTGGGGACGCAAAGAAAAGGAGATGGTTTGGCAGAAGTGAGAGGCTGGGCAAGAGGAACATTCCAGGGAGAGTCTGGAATATAAAGTGGCAACCACCAAGAGTCAAAGAGGAGAATCCGGCTGGCCTGTCTGCCGGCTGGGAGGAGCTTGTGTCAGGCGATAAGAGGCGGAAAATCACTGAGGTCCCTGAGGTCTGGCCCAACCAGGACAAGTCCCAGAAACATGGGGACATCCAGATGCTGAAAACCCTGGGCTTTTCCACGAGTCTTTGTTATTCCTGCTCAGACACCCCCCCCCCAACCCCCAAAGTCATCAAAACACAGACATATGTGCAAATTTTTGGAATAAGAAAAAAAGATAATGTTGATTTTGTGTTTTGGGCAAAAATGTGAATATTGAATTGTAGGCCGACAAGAGAATTTTCATGATCTATTTTCATTTTCAAATTTCAGATCACTTTTTTTATTGTTTTATTTTTGGTTGTTTTTGTTTTTTGTTTTTTTGCCATTTTCAAAAATGAGGACGCTCCAACATTAATCTGCTTAGCAAATCTTGTGAACTAAATCAAAAGCCTCGCAAGCCTATTGCAAGCATGTCAGGATCGTGGACTTATCTTAACCCAGGAAAATTCTGAATTGTGTTTAAGGGCAAAGAATGAATGGGCTCTTCTTGATGCTCCTTAGTAATTCTTTCTATCCATTTTTCGGAACTCCAACTTCCCTTTACTTATTGATTTATTTATTTTTATCCTCACCTGATGACATTTTTGCATTTATCTTCAGAGCGGGAGGGAGAGAGGGAGGAAGAGAGAGAGAGAAACATCGATTGGTTGCCACCCGCACAACCCCAACCAGGGCCGGGGACAAACTGCAACCGAGGTACATGCCCTTAGCTGGAATCAAACCCAGTACTCCCCGGTCCATGGGCTGACGCTCTAACCACTGAGCCAAACTGGCCAGGGCTAACTTCCCCTTAAAAAGATCAGCCTGCATGCAGCCTCTGCTTGTTGCCTCTCTTTCTGACGTCGTTCACCGGTTGTATCGGCAATGCTGCCCGGCGTAGAGCCCCCTTCTCTGCGGACCAGGCTCGGGCAGAACCTTCCAGGAGATTCCATGGGGCCAACTCCTGGTCTGCCTTCAGTTTGCTGCTGGGGGAGGGGCTCTGTTTCTACGTCATTAGTGCTCCTGGGGCAGGGTGTGACGATGACAGCAGATGAGAAGCCTCTCAATGCCCTTTCTGTGGAACTGGTTTGCCCCATCTGCCGACTTGGGGTTCTCACGGGGAGTCTTCCTCTCTCTAGGTTCTGTCTGCATTCTGATTGTGATTGACCCTCTCCACCGATCAAGCCCTGTTCCGTCTCTAATCAGCCTCGAATGGCCCCGTTGTTGCGGTTCCGGTCTCGCAGCCTCTCTCCGCTCTTGCCATTTGCATCGAACATGGCTTTGCTGTTCTTTCTCTGCCTCTTGGTCCTGGCCTTTCCCAAAATGTTTAAGCTGGTTGAAAAAAGCAGATTTTCTCAAGCATTTGCAGTCAAATGAATAAGCTAATAAATCATAAATGGGCTTAGCAAGAGGATTTTCCCCTTTCATGGCATACATTAGAGCTCGGGTCTGGCAGTTGTTGGAAATGCTTGGGGGAGAACTCTGTCTGTCTTCCAGAACCTTCCGCGGGAGGAGCCCGGCTCACCCGAGTGAGGCTAAGGGGATTGCCATGCACCAGAGACAATGTCTTGAGCATAACAGTTTAATCCACCCATTTGCTGGTAAATATTCATATTCTGGGGATGGAAGTTTCAGTATTTACAAATTCTTGGAAGTAGGATATGTAGATCAGCATAGGGTAAATGTAATATTTGTTTCTTTGTTTTAAATGGCCACAATCACCAAAACCGAGGTTCATTTTTGTCCTTTTGCTTTTGTTCACACTGCAATAAAGCCTGGAGGGTTATGGATACTGAACTACTGGTAAGAGGCACTCTGGCGACTTCCTTTTGTGTTAAGTGTGAGATTTAAAATTGGTCGGCCCAGTTATGATGTAAATATTGTTTTTGTCTTAATATTATAGCTAGGTAGTTTATGCTGTCTTTCTATCTACCATCTATCTAACTTCTATCTACAAAATTCTCTATCTAGATTAGGTAGAACATTAAAGCTAAAGCAATTTACTGATGTTAATGATTTATATATACATAATGATTATAACGAATATGTGTGTGTATCATATACACAAATACACACACATGTAAAATTAGTTTTATGGGTGATTAATAAACTAAATTTGGAGTGCTTTAATTATATTAAAGCTTTCTAGAGAAAGCTTTGTGGGAAAAATCTGGCCATATATCTCATCTCATATAATATTTAATTCACATAACAACTCCCTGATGCAGATATGAGAAAACCAAATCACAGAGCATGAAGACCCTTGCCCAGAATTGCTGAGCTGGGTCCAGGGTGTTTTCTGTTTCACCAAGAGGCCAATCAAGTTCACCTGACAAGGCCCCGCCTACCGATAGGTTTGGCTGGAAGAAGCAATGTCATCCTGGGCTCAATTAAAAAAAAAAAAGTATTGATCAATTCATTCATACCACAAATATTTATTGAGCACCTACAAGGTGCTCAGTGTTCTAAGTACTGGAAAAATACAAGAGAAGAAACAGATTAAGTGCCCTGCCCTTCGGGACTTCCATTCTAGAGGAGAGTCATGGATCAAGCTATCCGCCATGATGAATTATAGTCCCGCCATCTCATATATGAATAGAATTAGAGCTAAATCATGTGTCACCCTCATCTCCTGTAGGAAGAAACACTTTTCTTCTTTACCCTCAAGGTCTTGTCCTGGTCTTGTTTTGGATTTCATGGGCTCACCCAGAAACCCACAGACTGGATGTGGTAAATGGGTGTTCAGGGAGCCATGCTTGCCTTGAGGATTCAAAGTCTTGGATAAGGTCAGGGTTTTGAGTGTTTCTCACACTCTGGATTATTAATCTGGAAAACCCTGGCTTCTGTCTCCCAATTATCTTTTTCACTATTATTTGTTCTGTCTGGTTTATCTCTTCACCCGATGAGTGGCCTGTAGATCTTTGAATCTATGAGCCACATCTAGGATTCATATCTTTAAAAAATAATTAGAGCAGCTTACTCCATGTTCTTAACTTTTATTATATCATGAAGCAAGTCTCTTCCCTCTGCCTGGTTGAAGTAGTCTTCTCACATCATCTACGTCGTCTGCTACTCATCCTTCAAGGGCTCACTCTATGGCCCCTCTTACAGGAAGCCCTCCTTCTCTGACTTCTTATACACAGTCAGTGTCTCAGCTCCCACTGCATTGAAAATGTTTCTCTGTTAGCCCACAGATATTACTCAGCACCTACCACATGCCAGGTAGCATTTAGGTGCCATTAGCGTTCATTACCACATAGCGTAATGCTTGCTTTATTTTATGTCTCCCTTGTGTGGCTCCAAAAATACTGAGAGCCCAGTCTTATTCTTTTTCATGTCCCCAGCTCACAGGGACATCCTGGGACATGGTTGGCACTCAACCACCCTATGCTGAGTGAAGGAAATCCCTCTTCAGTCTTACAAGCATGGGTGAATACCATGCTGTGAGTAAATGCTTCAGAAATTGGGTGGATTAAAGATGCCAAAACTTTGGCCGGTACGGCAGTGGGAGCCAAAGAGGGGAGTTAATATTAAAACCATGGACTTTGGGTTTAGACAAAGTTGAATTCACACAGGTTTAAGTTCCAAATGTACTTTGCCTTTTGGACAGAGACACTCAGTATTCCTCAAGTTTAAGAAAATGATGATGCTAACCTACTACATAAGGTTATGTGGGTTAAAGAAGACAATGTTACGTGGATTAAGACAGTTCTTACCTGAAATCAATACAAAATAATAATGAAAATAAACTGTAATTGGAGACTAAAAAAAGAAAAAAAATTTAAAAGATTAAAAAAAAAAAGACAGTTCTTAGCACATGAACTCATCTCAAGTGCCCATGACATTACTTGACCGAGGCATGCGGGCAGATCATCAGTATCCTCACTCCGGTCTTTTATGTCCAAAGCTAGCGATTAACTCTTACATTCAGCTTTGTGAGAAAACGCATGTGCTTACAAGTGCGCGCGCACACACACACACACATGCACACACCCGCACACACCTGCACACACGCATTCTGTCCCCCAGTACTTCTCACTCATCTTTCATTTGTGTCTGAAAATCAAGACAAGAGTCATTCCTCCTTCAGATGGGTGTCCTCAAGCGGTGAATGATAGTGTCAGGCTTCTTCCACGCTGAGCAGCGGGCACGTTCATTCTGAAGTGTGCCCGCCCCTGCGGAACTCAGTCCAGCATCCCCTCACCGTGCCGCGCACAGTGACTGGTGCGTGATGCCGTGTTAAAAATAGATGTAAACAGTTAACACTTCTTTGAGAGGGAATCAGATCCTCACTTACAGCCTTTATCAACCAGCTGGTTCTTGTAAGCGTCTTCCGATCTGTGTGCAAACATTACTTTTAAGTGATCAGCCGGCATAATTAGGTAAGATTGTACACTAGAAGCACAATTCCGTTTTTCTCTTCATCTTGGCTGGAAGCAGCAGCAAACATCGGGGATGCTGATACCACGAGAAGTCAGATGTGGGAGATTTCTCCAGCAGCTGCAATACCTTGCTAATCAGCAGGGTTAGTTATTTATTTATTTGTTTTCCTTTTTCAGTTCCGAGGTACAGCTTTAAGGAACCTCAGCCAGAGAGGTAATTAGGAAGCCTGGTACCATCATCGCTGGCACAGACAGCTCGGCTGGGTCTAGGCTCTGGGTTTTCTTTCTAGCTGGATGTTTTAGTATTTACTGCCTTTCATTTGAATGTACTTAAAATTCTCATTGTATCATAGACCTAAGTCAGCTTCAGGGAAACGAAATTTAAGAACTGGCTGGGAAAGGGATTGGGGGCTGTGATTTCATTTGTGATTTTCAAATGAGCAGGAAGTTGTTGAGCAAGGAAACCAACCCGATCTGGTAGCTTCATGAAGAAAGTGGGCGTGGAGTGAGGGGACCCACATCCTAATAGGTCACTTAACCTCTCTTGACCTTACTCACTGATCTGTAAAAATGGGGATTTGGAAATAGCCAGTCCCAGATGTACTGAGAGGCTGTCAGCATCCAACTCTGCTGATTCTCTCCCTTGGAGCTCAGAAACCCAGAAGACAGCCCAGTGCCCGTAGATCAAGTGCAAGGATCCTGGCGGGTGTGCAGGACTGTGCAGTACTTACCTGCGCGCAGTCGAGCGCCGACTGTCTGGTGTCCCAGCCATCACGGACGTTTCTAGCTTGTTGAGCTTGAAGAATACACCAACATCTATTGATTGAGCTGTTGTGAAATGTATAAAATATTGTCTGGCATGTATATGTGCTCAGTAAATACTGTTGTTACTATGGGAACCCAGACCAGAGAGAAATAAAATGATGTAGATGCCATGGGAACACCAGACTCTGACAGGAAATAGTAAACTGAGACCTGAAGGAAAATGTGGGAGAACTTAAGACAGCTCCCCCATCACATGCGTTCTAGGCTAGCCGACATGCTCCCTTCTCCGTGAAACACTGGTCGATGCCCAACGCTCATGGCCGCTAGGCCACGCCACGCTGCTTTGCCCATGTTCCGTAAACCCGCCGACTACCAAGCCCTCTTATACCAGTTTAAGGAACTCTACTACAAAAATACTTAGTAATGTTCATGGGGCAGATCATAGGCAGCAGTAGCAGCTCAGCTTCCATGCACGTGTATATATAGAGGGTCTCGTTTAACTTTTTTTTAAAACAGCCCTAATAAATCCTCTTTTATGCCCATTTTACCAATGAGCTCCATAGTGAAAGTCGGAGCTGAGATTTGAGCCCAGGTCTCTCTGGGCCAAAGCCACCTCATCCGAAAGCTCTGTAGCAGGTTCCCAGGTGTAAACACAGTGAGCAGAACATTCCAGGGAGAGGGGACAGCATGTCCACAGCCTCCAGACAGAGATGTGTCCTAGGCTCCTTCCTTCCAGCCCTTGCATTTCATCATTTAACAACAGAGGCCATGGGTTTCATTGTAGAAAATGAGGCTCAGGGTACTAGGGCAGTTTGCCCAGTGATTTTTACTTATAAATTCTTTGTCATGGCTTGGTTTTTGTTTTTTAACATTGGGATTGTTTTCATTCTTAGGTACCAGGGATAAAATGTGTGTGTGTGTGTGTGTGTTTGTTTCTTTTTTCTTTATTGATATTAGAGAGAGAGAGAGGAAGGGAGAGGGAGAGAGATAGAAACATCGATGAGAGAGAACATCAATTCGCTGCCTCCTGCATGGCCCCCACTGGGGATTTGGCCCACAACCTGGGCATGTGCCCTGACTGGGAATCGAACCAGCGACCTCTTGGTGCATGGGTCGATGCTCAACCACTGAGCCACACTGGCCGGGCAAGGATAAAATGCTTTCAAATATCCATGTAAAAGCCCGATGGTTTGAAAGGCAGTGGTTTGTTTACAGCCTTTTTGAAAATCAAATCCCAAAATAGCACCCTTGATATCAAAACAGTGCTCAGGAACGCCCAGGACCCCCAACAGTGCCTTCTGGGGTCACGCCTCTCTGGGTGCTCCCAGTCCTGCTGTCCTGGGAATGGGGGGGCAGTGACAGGAGAAGGGGGGAAGGTGCCAAATGGATGAAGTAACTCAGAGAATACCAACTTCAGCCTTGCACATTAACAAAAATGTTTATTTTTCTCTTGCAGCTGCGAAGTATTTGGTGATTAGTCAACCCATTTTTAAATGATCAAATAATGATTAAGGATTAAAAAAAACCTCTAACTATTTAAAACATGACAGGAACACTACTGCTCATGGAAACTTGGCTTTTAGAGAAATCAGGCTCAAGGGAAAGAAAAATATTTCTATACAGTTAAACATGACCTGTCAGATCTTTGTCCTAAAGCGACTTTAAAATAAGACACATAAATTGTCAGGCTATTTTGAGTATGTACTGTGCAGAAAAATGTTAGTCTGTTTTCCCTCAATTCTCTCTCTCTCACTTGTCTTCAAAATATGAAGCGATAGGGGTTGGGGTTAGGAGGATTGAGCACAGGCTCTTTCAGTGCAGCCTGTTCACATGGGAAGGAGCCGGGGAGTATGTGAGATCCCGTGTTCTGCGCCTTCCCCGGCTCCTGGAGAACATGCCAGGCGTGTTTCCTCTGGAGAATCTGTCCCAGCAAGCTCCCTGCCAGGAAAACTCTGCCCTCGGGTTTGCAGGGGGCTGACTCCGTCCTGCCATTCAGACCTCAGCTCAAATGACACATCCTTTGAGGTTGCCTTGACCTGCGAATCTGAAGTCATCACTGATTATCACAAGCTGGTTTGTTTGTTTGTTTGTTTTTTGTTTTTCCCTTTTCGTAACACCACAATCGGCAATGGTCTGGTTCCTTTACTTGTATTCTTGTTCTTTGTCATCCCCTATGCTAAGCTGTAAACTCCAGGGGACCTTGTCTGGTCACCTCTGCCAAGAACCATGCCCAGCACAGAGCAGACACCCTATAAATATTTTCAAATAAGTGAATGAAAAAAAAAAAGAAGTGCTTTTAAAAATAGTTATGTGAAATTGAAATTAGTAAAATAAAAACAAAAATCTAAGGTGATATTAGTCATTTCTAATTCTTTTGAGCAAATGGTATCATGCATTTCTCCCAAAGTGCATTTAAACTTTACTCCTCCTGTGCTAAAGTGCCAATTTCTAGAAGTCCAGGATATCAGCACTTTCCAAAATGAAGTGCCTTTGCATTTGGAGTAAAATGTATATTTTGCTGTTGGCAGAATACACAGGGAAGAGTCTGCATTGTTTTCTATCTGAGAGAAGACAAATTACTAGGTCCCATTTCCTGGCCAACAGAATGCAGCAGATCAGAGAAGTGAGGTCGTCTGCAACTCACCTTGACTCTTCAGACCTTAGAACATGTGCCTCCCAACATTTGTAGAACTGTTGAATCGTGGAATTTCAGTATAAAAGGATGCTTACGGTCCACTCACTTCACCTAGTTAGTCCCTAAATCTGACACTTGTCTCCCTAAATCACGTCTTTAATTTTGTAGATTGTATCCTCTGAATTAATTTAGCATCGATATGATATTGCTCACACTTGTGTTTTAAAATATTCTCTTGAGGTTTAATTTCTAGACATCATTGCACCCCACACTGGGAGGATGGTCCTGATGTTTTTGAGGTAGTAGAATTTCATTTAAAAATATTGTTTGAAATGAATACAAAATATATGGGCTGGTGCTTGGGAATATCTGCTGTGCAGAGATTTCTGTTCTGAGGGTCGAAGTTTGGGTATTGAGAAGATATTATTATTTTTTCAATCAAAATTTCACCTAAAGTAGGAATGTTTTCTTGAGTTTGAAGAATAATACATGTGCTGATAAATATCAAGAATATTATAGCAAATAGTCATTTTATTCAGGTTCTTGTTCAAAGCAAGTTAGATATAGCCTTTGCTTTATACAAAGTTATGGTTGAAATTATGACAGTCCCAGAATCATCTTTTTGGCCTGGAAAAAATCATGAAAGGTTAACCTAAAACTTTTTCTAACTACAATAAGAAATATATTTTTGGCCTTGGCCAGTTTTGCTCAGTGGTTAGAATGTTGGCCCTTGCAGACCGAAGGGTCTCAGGTTCGATTTCCAGTCAAGGGCATGTATCTGGGATGCAGGTTTGATCCCAGGCCCTGGTCTGGGTCATGTGGGAGGCAACCAATCAATGTGGCTCTCTCACATAGATGTTTCCCTCTTTCTCTCTGTCTCCCCTCCCTCCTTCCCTCCCTCCCTCCCTCCCTCCCTCCCTCCCTCCCTCCCTCCCTCCCTCCTTCCCTCCCTCCCTCCCTTTCTCCCTTCCACTCTATCTAAAATCAATGGAGAAATATCCTCTGATGAGGATTACCAATAACAAAAAGATACATTTTTTGTTATGATCCAGTACATACACACACACGCACACACACACACAGGCAAGCACAATTAGAACTAAAGAGTTCCAGTGCCCCCCTCCCTGTATAAGATGTATTCTACTTTTAATTTTATACCATTTCATTTAAACAAGATTGCTTTTGCCTTTATACATTGATTTAATCATTATTTGGAAACTGCTAATCTGGCCCAAATCATTCACTTTACAAACGGAAAGACAAAGGTGCAGAAAGAGGACCCCATACCCCCAGTTCATATCAAATTCAAGAAATCCTGCTGCTAAATTGTGTTAGCTAAGTTATTGTCTGTCTTCCTTTCATTACAATCAATGATCCCATAAAATCATAAGTAGAAACTACAGTTTCATTAAAAAGGAAAATACACACAACATATCTCTTGGGTTTAGGTCTAAGTCTTCAGTGGGCAAATACCCTCAACTTTTTGAGCCTTGGGGAACTCATTTTTTATACTTAAGTCCTCACCATAATGAGCTTCAGCGTAGCTCTGCCAGATGATTATTGAGACAACGTGGATGAAAATGCCTGGTAGAATTTGTTGTTCCCATTTTTTTTTCACCTTACTCCTCTCAAATCATATTAATTTTAAAAAAAGAACAAAAAATAAGGGACAAAATACACAATAGTGTATCTTGTTTCAATTGCCTAAAAGTCAACTTTCTCCATCATACTTGACGTGGCTAAGATGGCCATAGATTCGTGGGCAGTTCTCCGGTCCAGAGGTGGGGCCTTGTTTCCCTGTTCTCACATCCCAGCTGGCCTGGGACGGCATTGACCAGGAGTCCACTGCAGGAGCCATGTGGTGCCGTGGTAGACCCCTCTTCAAGTGGACTGATACCTTGTTCCTTCTGAGTGCTCAGCCATCCTGTGGGAAGTGTGACGACCATGCTAAGGGGCCGTATGGACAGGCCCTGGGACCACATGGAGAAGGAGGGGGCTCATCAAAACCCAGCCTTCCAGGTGTCCCACCAAGGGGCCAGGCAGGTGGTAAAGTCTCAAGGACCCTCCATATCATCCTTGCCTCCAGCCACACCCATTCTAGTTGAACCTGTTTGATCCTGTGTTGAACAGAGAATCACCCAGCTAAGCCACGGACCCACAAAACCGTGAGATTTAATGAAATGGTGATTGTTGTTGGGTTTTTTTGGTACGTGCCCCTAGTGGGAACCAAACCTGGGACTCTCTGGTCCGCAGGCCAATGCTCCAACCGCTGAGCCAAACTGGCCAGGACGAAATGGTGGTTGTTTAAACCACCAAATTTTGGGGTAGTTTCTTAACACAACAACGGATAACCAGAACACTTGAGCTGCTACAAATAGTTCAAGTAGGCAGTTCCC